ACTTACTGAGCAACCTGGTCATCGGTAGTTACTCTTCTAGTTGCCATAAAGCTGCATAGAGAAAATAGTTTTACGGAAAGTGACGACAGTTCCCGATTGATCTAAAACGAAGTTAATGTATGTTGTTTTATGCATGAAAACGTTCAGCAGAATTCTCTCATATTTTGTCTGTAGAGGAACAGATATCCTTAATTGGGCTGTTTCATTAAACAATATTATGGTTTCATAGGTTTGGGACATTCTACAATATCAGATGACACTCTTTATTCCTACATCCTCATTAATATTGGTTGGATCATAATCACGTGGAGGTAGGTGACTTTATGATATTAACTCAGTGATACTACTGTACAATTATGGACTCAGGTGAGGTCTATCACTGATTTACGGACCTGGTCTGAACAATATTCACCTCGGCCTTCGGCCTCTGTGAATGGTTATTTACGGACCTGGTCTGAACAATATTCACCTCGGTCTTCGGCCTCTGTGAATATTGTTCAGACCAGGTCCATAAATCAGGGATAGACCTCACCTGAAGTCAATAATTGTTTTATTATATGACATTTTACAATGAGGTTAATCATTATTTATGTCGTAAACAAATGGATGGCATGGACCATTTTGGAATCACAGAGTGAAGGACTTCCAATACAAAATAACATACACATTGAATTTCAGATTCAATTCATGTGATATTTAATTTCAAGTAAACATTATTTGCACAATCGACATCATCAATATTCATATGGTTAGGAATTTGATGAGATAGCGTGATTGGTAACAGAATTAGAGACTGGCTGGGAAATAACCTATGTCTATTTTTAGTAGCGGTCTGCAACACTTTTCTATTTATAGGTCGAGGGCTGTAACACTTTTCTATTCATAGAACGAGGTCTGTAACATATATACAGACTCCTCATATGACGTCGCTCCTCCAATCAGGACTGTGAATTAGCACCAATCATATAATAATTTTAGAAACAGCAGGATAATGGTGACTTTATGACGTCATTTCAGTTGTAACGTCACAATGTTCTCTGCCAAATGCAGTTCATTCACTCATACAATTTTCCCATGTTCAATCTTGTTAGGTGAATAAAACATTATTTAGCATCTAAAATAGGAATTAAAGACTTTTATTTCAGTAAGTATGTGGTTATAAGAATATGAAAAAGTGATATTGACATCAATTTTGTCTTGGTTAGTATCACTTTTTCAGGTTCATATAACCATAAATTCACCTCAACAAAAGTCTATTCCGTCTTTGCGTATTACAGAGTTATCTTCGCGTGTGCGTAGGTATTGATTGTTACTTCATTGGTTTGTGAGAGTAACGTCATCAATTTTTGAGAAAACGACGTAATTATCTCACACAAACCAATGAAGTAACAATCAATACCTGCTCACAAGAGAAGATTACCGCTAGGGCTGAAAATTATACACCCGTCACATTCCATAAAACATCTGCCCTGTTTCCTTTCATAATGGAGTGGCATAATTTGAACTCTTTTTACTAATTATTGTAACAAACTGTATGTGTCACCCTAGTAAAATATATATATATATACTAGCCGCTTCCTACTGGCTCGGCTAGGGAGAATTTCTCTTTAGCTCATTCGGTAGAGCGTAAGACTAGTAAATCAAAGGTTACGGACTCGACTCCAAGCGGAGGCATTGGAAAAATAATAACCTCTGTTACATTGGCGCCCACGTAGGGAGCCGGGAAATATTGACAAAATACCCAGCGATAATTTCACAAAAATCGCTATGATCCCTATAGATAACTCGGGACGTCACCCTGGTGAAATACTAGCCGCTTCCTACTGACTCGGCTAGGGATAATTTTTCTTTACCTCATTCGGTAGAGCTCGATCCCTAATTGGAGGCATTGGAAAAAATAATGACACCTGTTGCATGGGAGGGGGTGGGGGGTAAACTATACAGACGAACAGAATAATGAATAAATCACAATCCCTCACGTTAGTGAGAAATAACTATCTCCTTTTAAATTCTTTTGATTGGGGATGGAGATGTATATCCGCCCCATCAAAAACCATTTAAGGAGTCGGTTATTTCGCACTATCCCATAATTACCAGTCAGACATATATACTACCTTACTTGCCCAAAGTTTACGTGCTTCCGACCAATTTTTCAGTCGCATAAAAGTGACACTTTGAATTAACTGATGTTAGGAAAAGACACACACACGCTTAATGCATGAGCATCTCATAATGCACAAAAGTACCTATAAAGATAACGAAAGACAGGTTTTCAACCTTTTTTTAACAATAAATGTGTGTGCGTTGCCGCCAATCTGAGTAAAGGGGCGTAACTCCTACAAGATTATGAGGTACCAGTCTCAAGTGCGCCAGCTCAGTCTTTTTCCGACCCTGGTCTCAGTTTCACCACGGAATTAGATTAGAAGTCCGTGGTTTCACTAAAGTTCCTTAACTTGACGAAGATCCTAAAGTTAAGTTATTTTCCCCCATTGCAACACATTGCTCTGAAGTTGTTTTCCTTAAAGTATCAATATTTATTCAAAATGATAATAATTAGTCGTGAAACTTGAATATGATAGCAAAACGCGGGTTAAGGTCAAAATAATCAAAACAAGGCGATTAACTTTGGGTTAGTGTATTGTTTTTATTTTTATTTACTGTTTGACGGCCCATTGACAAAGTGAGTCATTTAGGGCCAAACAACATTTTAAAAAGAGACCTTCAAAAAACACATTAAACTGAAGCTAAATACAATTAAAATGTAAAGAATAAGAAAATACATGAATAGCAAACGAATTGGCTGCAAAATACATGTATATCATATCTTACGTATACTTTAAAGATCAACTGAGTGTAAATAACCGTATATTGAATGCACAGAAACTCACATTTTCAAATAAACTTTTCATAGAAAGTATATTATAGAATCTATCGCGTATTTGTTTGAAATCAGTGCATTCAATCATAAAATGTTTGACTGTAAATGATTGATAATATGCATGTTCCTTACGTAAAATGTAACCATGTGTGATATGTTACGTTATGAACACCCATGCATTTCAAGATTACAAGCAACACATACATGTATTTCACTTTCAATTGACGAATTTCTACCACACAAGTTTTAATTATAAGGTGTTTTTCTTCTAACTTAAGTGCCTTCGTTGTTTAGTTTAAGACATCATTAGTATTACAGATGGCGACAAGTGCAGTGTTTCATAAACTACAGGGTCCAAACATGTAAATACCCCCAAAATTGCCGTTTTAAACAAAATTGAAGACACAGTGATCGCAGGCTCAGACGCTTTGAAAAAAAAAATCGCACAAGATCATTCACTAATTGACTTATAGGGAATTAAATGAAAGGCTACGAATCTAAACAAAAGGGAATTGAATTAAAACTATATTGTGGTTGAGGACTTGACAGAAGTCACGGGGCCCCTGGGGAAGTGAATAAACTTGAAAATATCAAATGTTTTACCAATCTGATTAAAATCATCTGTTACATGGCTCCGCCTACGAAGTTAACGAAGCCATCATATGTAACATATGATTTTAATCAGATTGGTGTTTTACAATCGTGCAGTTTGGATGGAAAATTATTTCCCCAAAAAATATCCACATAGCTGACGGATAAGAACATAGGAAATCTTGGCTGATAGGAACTTACTGCGGCATAGTTTTAATGGACTTGTATGACAAATGTATGCTTGGGAGTGTTGGCACGTGCATTCTTACAAAGTTCCTGCTATATCCCGTCCAATAGATACCCAACTCAACCTCATCGCTTATAGACTCTGTTTGATAACGTCAACCCCCACCCCGAGTCCAGTTGTTCCGTACCACCGGCAATCCATACCAGTCACGTGCACCAATTAAACATCATCCCCGGCCCTATACGTACAAAACGATAAGGGCCCGCACTGGGAGACGTATATTGACACAAGACTTACAGTATAGTATAATATGATTGAACGCTCATTCTACCTATATATGGAATGCCAAATACGGGAATTGTCAATCAAAACCACGGAATTAGATTTTTTAAGTCTGTGATCAAAACACAATGCTTGATCAGATCACGGACTTAGAAAGGGGAAAAAACCCACACCTGATTCATTTTGCTTCAATTCTTAAACAGAATTCAAATAATTTGGGGAAAATTTTAATAATGCTCTATAGCTACTGCCCCTCAACAAGCACCATTCAGGTCATGTTCGTATCGTGCTTCGGTTCAGTGCCGGTGTTTTAGGGGTGGCACAATTTAACCAAAAACACCCAAAACACCCCTAAACACACAGAAACCCCACCCAAACACCTAGACACATCCAAGTAAGATCACAAATAAACAGGCGTCACTTAAATTATATATATATCAGTTAGTATGATAATGTATACGTTTAGTAACCGGCCTAATTTTCTGAATTGGTCACCCTAAAGAGTGCTCAAACAGGTTTCGCGCGCCTATAGCAATTCGTTAAGTGACTTTTTGTAAAAAAAAAAATCTGATTTATACAGTAAATGCCATCACCTAACTATATGCAAAAGTTCGATATATACTGTCCCTGGTCGCACGAATAGAAATATTGAAATTCACATGTTAAATGTGACATGGTCGGGATCGCTTTCGTTTATCCGGTTGAAGCGGTTTAATTCTGATACAAAAAGGATCTACATTAAACGGAAGTACATGTATATATTTAGAAGAGTAATTGAACAACATAGTAGAATAATTTCAAATGCACAGTTTTGGGGTTATCTCAATAAAAAGGCAATCAACACAGATCTGTCTGAGCCCTCTCTTGGAGCACAGAGTCACGTTACAAATGTCTGAAATACACATATGCTATACTGATACGGGCCACAACACACATAAACATACACGTATGTTTATGTGTGTTGTGACCCGTACCAGTATAGCATATGTGTATTTCAGACATTTTTAACGTGACCCTGTGCTTGGAGTTTATTGATTAAAAGCGGTGTAACTTGATAAAGGTAGGCAACCCGGGCTAACAAACATGGCGCTGTCCAGTAGATTCATGCTCTTGAATGTACAATCAACCCGTAGGCTTGCTAAAAGATGCCTTTGCTCAAGTATAAATAATGAGGTATGGTTTACATCAAAGACAAAAAAGGAGGTAGTTGCTTACCTGTTATTCATATCTAGTTCTGTTTCAGCTAAATTATATTTGTGATTGAATATAACCTTGTTTCTCCTACGTTACACGGAAATAGATTAGAAAAAGTCCGCGTACGTTAGTAGCATCTCGTTCTACATTAAGACATTGTTCTTTGCTATTGTATACATTATCACATTGTCATATCTTGGATAGTTAGAAATCAACTCGTACGATTTAACACGAACATGTATGTCGATTTTCGGTGAACAAATGGATACCTCGCGATTCGTGTTACTCGCCTACTTTCGTTTTACCTATATTTATTATGTAGCCAGATACGAATCTGGCAGTGGTGATATCACTCATACTTACATTCCCATTACATCCCATTTGTTTACACTCAAAATGATGCAGAAATTTTGTTGCATCATTTTCAAAGCCTTAAATTGTTGAGTGTTAACATATGTACATAGGATTACGGTCGTCTTCTAGCTTCATGTTAGAGGGAATTTCCTTTTAGCTCAGTGGTATGTTGTCCTACATGTATATGCTGGAGGGAATTTGATCTCCGGTTGTAGCACACTATTCTCTCTTTCCTGTTACAGATGGGGTCAGTGGCCCTTCCTGTGTTGACAGGGAGTTAAAACCTAGGTTGTTGTGTTGTTTGAGGGCAAACGCATTTAAAAAAGGGGAGGGGTGAAGTGTGACAGATTTTAATTGTACATAGGATAACAGTCGCCTTCTTAAGCTTTGTACCAGAGGAAATTTCCTTTTAGCTCAGTGGTAGAGCAACTGACTAGAAAGTCTGGGGTCGCAGCAATCTCACACTTCCATCTTTCTAAATGTTACACAGACTATTGCCTCGTCAGTAATTTATATTGATGTAGGTAGGCTAGTGTTTGTGAATGGGCAGAATTTGGTCAGTAACTAGCCTGAGTTTCCTCTGGCCCTGACACCAGACTTGGACATTTTGACAGATAGATGTCTGGTGTGGGGCCAGAGCGTTTGGTGTCGGGGAGTGACTAATCAACAAAAAGATGCGGATCGGAAATCTTCTCAACAAGAATAATATTTTCTGTTTTTGTTCCGGATCAGTACGGTTTGTTGATTAGTCACCCATTGACCTGCAAAATGGCGTTCGCTCAGATGGGAAATTTTGAGCAATTGAAAACCCAGGACTCTACAGACAGAATGTAACAGCTGATGGTGACGATAAGAGCGGATTTCGCTCAATAAATAATCAATTTATCGATATATGTGAGGTATGTGTTGTGTCATAGTAGATTTTCGTTGTCACTGGCTCAAAACTCCCCGATACCAAATGGTGTTGAAGTAGTCCACGTTTTCATAATTATAGTAGTGCACTCTGGCCCCACACCAGACATCTATCTGTGACAATGTCTAAGTCTGGTGTCAGGGCCAGCGGAAACGCGTGCTGGTCAGTTACCTATCTGTTTATTGAACTTGAATCATGCAGTTCAAATGGTGATGGACTTAACCTGTGAATGTATGCCTTTTTTATCCACTCTATTTATAATTGTCAGTGTAGGAATACTATTATTCATGTGCTGTAAGGCACCTTAGAGTAATTTTGCAAATTATATAGGGCACTCTACATTTTAATGTTGTATATAAAACCGTTTGCAAAGATGGCGAAAATATCTTGAAATTGTAATTTCAATCGTTCTTTATGTACTGTGCTTTTTATATCATCTGCAAAAATTCATCATGATTTTAACAGATTAGTGATAAATTTCTTTCTTCAAAATCAAGCTTAACAAACAAAAGATCTTAAACCCCATAAGACAGGACTCCAAAACTCCCCCAAAAAAATAATTAAATGATATGAATGATTTCTTTAATCCGCAGAATGTCACATTTCCGGAACGGGTGTTCTCCGGAATTCAGCCAACTGGTATTCCACATATCGGTAATTACTTTGGTGCCATCAAAAACTGGATCCGCTTACAAGACACTCATAGCAGTGTCATGTATAGCATTGTAGATCTACATTCAGTCACAGTACCGCAAGATCCGGCCATCCTTAGGTAAGATTTCGAACGGAAATATCAAAAAGCTGAGAAACAACTCACATTTTCCACTAATCTGAAGGTAATTAAGTTTGCTATTTCAAAATTATCTTTTTGTTTTGGTAGTACTGTAAATATTCATGTGTGACCTTTAATTTGGCATGAGACTGTATGTATGTGTATCAAGAAAACAACCCTTATAGATTTCAAAAATACATGGTATATTGGCAAGACCTACACTAGATACATTATATGTCTACACAAACTCTCAACATTAGTTTACAGCTGCCACTTTGTTCCAGAAGCAAATATGTTTGTTATCAGTTATGAATAAATATAAATTTGTGGAACCTTTTTTTTTTGGATTGTTTGTGTTTTACGTCCTATTAACAGCTATGGTCATTTAAGGATGTGCCAGGTTTTGGTGGTGGAGGAAAGCGGGAGTTCCTGGGGAAAAAACACCGACCTAGCTACGGGCAGTACCTGGCGACTGCCCTACGTAGGCCTCAAACCCGCGACCTAGTGGTGGCGGGCTAGTGGTAGCAGAATGTTGTCCGAGGCCTTAGCCACCGAGGCCCCCTTTTGTGGAATCATCTTGTGTTTATGTTACTTGTTGTCAACGAAAGTCACAATAAATTTCCAAGAACTTCCTTCAATGTTTCTTTTATTGAATTGCTTAAATTTTTTCATTGGCAGAGAAAACATTATGTCTATGACAGCTTGTCTGCTGGCCTGTGGAATCGATCCGGACAGAGGAATATTGTTTCAACAGTCACAGGTAAAATATCAAGCATTGGGGTGGTCGGTTGGTGCAGTGGATTACACACTTGCCTTTCACCAAGGCAGTTGGGGATTGATTCGCCGATCAACCGTGAAAAGGTTTGGCGTCACCTGTCCGACCTTGTGGGTTTTCCCCGGGTGCTCCGGTTTACTCCCACATTAAGATCCCCCGCACGCTAAATCCAGGCCAACAAAAGTGGTTTATAGTATAAGTTGTAAAAACTTGTGTCATAATTGTTGTAAAATGAATAAAGTTTATATTTTTTATATATATCAAGATTTAAGCACATCACATGATAATTTCTAGGAAGGCTATTGGATAACTACCCTTGTTCTATATGGTATAGTGCACTGACTTCCTTGACAATTGGAACTATACATGGCGACGGGCACTAAACCTTTTTTATCAACCCGCAGTAAAAAGTAAGGTGACGCCAAGAGTTTGCGTCCCTTCTCGTAGAAGGCACTGTAAATTCTGTTTTCATTTCATTGTTTTCTTCTGCCAAAAATGGCTTCAAATTGCTTTACAGAGGCACAAATGAGTATAAAGACAAAACAGACAATACCATTAGATGTATCAATACTCAGTGTTCTATAGAGGAAAGTGAACAAGACACCGCAATTTACTGGTAATAGAAATAAATGAATTAAACAATGTGTTGGCAGATTTTCATGCAAATATAAGGAACATATAAAGGGGAAGGTTACTCAAAAAGTTCTTGTCTTTCAAATGTGAAATGAAAATCATGTGATGTACTAAATCTATTATGTCTCTTTCCCTCGGGAACCGTTTTCTGATAGCGTTGTCTGGGGGGATATATAATGTCCCTGTCTAGTTGCTCGGGCACTATACCTCCCCCGTCCAACTGTCTAAGATTTGGTTTATTTTGGTTTAATTTTGATTAACATCCTATTAATAGCTAAGGTCATTGCCTCCATATGTGTAGTGTATGTGTGCTTGCGTGTGTGTATGCAAGAGGCAGCTAGGTATGTTGGCGTGCTTGCATCCTTGTGATAGCACGGATCTGATGCCAACTTTATAGTGCTATCTCACTGAAATGCCATGCCAAAGGCACTAAGCACAGCATTCCGCCCGGTCATACTGACAACGGGTGAACCAGTTGTTGCCTTTCACCTTAATGCTAAACATTAAGCAGGGAATAACAACTACCATTTTTAAGGACTTTGGTATGTCCCGGCCTGGGGACAGAACCCATTTGCCTTCCTCACCTGGGCATACGCTCAACATTTAAGCCAAAAGTGAGGTATTGCCAAGCAAGGCGCAAGGAAATAAAAGGTAGATAGAAGAAGAAAGAAAGATAAAGATCCCAAATATTGCAATGGGCGCATCAGATTTATTTTGATCCCCCACCTGCAGGGGTGACACTCTTAAGAGATCAGACCCTCAGGAAAACTGGCCATTATATACTAATACAGTCTTCCACAAATGGTGTCTCTTTGCAGAAGAACCTACAATTTTGATGTTAAAATTTTATATATATCATAATGTTTACATACCCTTGTAAGTATGATTGTATACATACAAATATTAATAAAGTAAAATTATTTAACGTAATTTGCCCAAAACACTTGTCTTTTCACTGCAGATTCTGCTTTCTAGGAGAGCTTAGACCTAGATCTAATTTATCAGTAAAGGAGCTGCTGTGGCCAAGTGGTTAAGGCGTCTGACATTCTGCTACCACTAGCCCTCCACCACTGGGTCGCGGGTTCGAGACCCACGTGGGGCAGTCGCCAGGTACTGGCCGTAGGTCGGTGGTTTTTCTCCCGGAACTCCAACTTTCCTCCACCACCAAAACCTAGCATGTCCTTCTTAAATGACCATAGCTGTTGATAGGACGTAAAACACGAACAAGCCAAATATGAAAAAATACTGAAATCAATAACTTGAGTACTTGAGGACTACATTTGTTTACAGGTACCTTATCACACGGAACTTGCCTGGATCCTGGGATGTCAATGTACACTAAGTCGTCTGGCACATCTACCTACATGGAAAGTAAGACTGACTTTCGCTTCATTTCACATGGGTTCCATCTCATATTCTAAATCACCAGTTTCGTTCCTTCCTGACCCTGTTGTTTCCGATCCCTCATTTTGTTCCATCCTGCCCCTGTAATTCTCAATCCCAAATTATGTTCCCTTCTGCCCCTGTTGCTTCAATCCCTTATTTTATTTCTTCCAGTCCCTGTTGTTCTTCATCACTTATTTTATTTCCACACCTGGCCAACAAGAGTGATTAATATAAGTTGAAATAATTTGTTTTATAATTGTTGTAAAATAAATGAAGTTAATACATTATATCCCTTCCTGCCCCTGTTGTTTCCATTCCTTATTTCCTTCCTTCCTGTCCCTGTTGTTTCCATTCCTTATTTCATTCCTTCCTGACCCTTTTTCAATGTTTTCCCACATATTAGTATTTTTCAATTTTGAAGGAAACACTAGGAATCTTGAAGGCCAAATTTAAAGTGAGATGCTGGGGACATCAGAATGCAATGGCTTGATATGGTAAAGGAAAAGAAGTCTTGAGTGTACATTTGAATTTTTTTTAATACAGGAAAAGTCAGCGGCAACGAAAGACGCACTGCTAGGATTGTATACGTATCCAGTTCTGCAGGCAGCTGATATACTTCTTTACAAGTAAGTCGGTATAGGTCAAGTCATTTTATTTCTCCCACAAACACTGCCTGCTAGGGGTTGATCAACATTTATTGGTAAATCACATAGTGGGTTACACTCTTGTAGTTATTTCATTGGTCAATTTTCTATTTTTGGCATCAAGTGCCATTGCTTTGCGATGACATTTCCAATGTGATGTCTATGGCAGCACATTTCTGCCATCGACTTTCGACCTACGAGTTACCTATGTCGACATATTTTATAAAGATGTCAACGACATAATCTCAGAAGATGTTGACATAATCTCAGAAGATGTTGACATAATCTCAGAAGATGTTGACATAATCTGTGAAGATGTTGACATAATCTGAGAAGATGCTGACATGACATAATCTGAGAAGATATTGACATAATCTGAGAAGATGTTGACATAATCTGAGAAGATGTTGACATAATCTGAGAAGATGTTGACATAATCTGAGAAGATATTGACATAATCTACATCAATATTCCTATGTCAACATCTTTTATAAATCATGTCAACATAGGTAACTCGCAAGTCGCAAATCGACGGCAGAAATATGCCACCATAGACATCATATTTCATGGCAATTAATTAATTTGTTAATGATGTATTCCAAATTAAAAACAAATGGTCTACATTTTTGCTATTTCTAACAATTCCTTTACAGGTTTTCCTAGATTTATCACCAAACTTCTTTATAATGCCAAAATGTTATTGGACAAACTGCGACAGTATAACAAGATTCTGTTATTTATGTGTTTCACCTCTTCACAATCACGATTTTACAGAGGCACTGAAGTACCAGTGGGAGAGGACCAGTTTTGTCATATAGAACTTGCTCGTGCGCTCGCAAAATTATTCAACAATCGATTTGGACACCTCTTCCCCCAACCCTCAATACTGCTGAGTAAGTATTTAATAACATGTCAACATTTCTTTTTAACCACTGATTTGAATTTGACCAAAATTTAACTGGAAGCATCCATTAGTGGTTGGGATTCAAAATAATTACCAATGGAGGGGCTTGTTGTCCCCCTATCCAGTCTCATTAATCCAGTCACCACTAATCTGGTTGTCCTACTATCTAGCCTCATTAATCCAACCACCACTAATCTGGTTGTCCCACTATCTAACCTCATTAATCCAGTCACCACTAATCTGGTTGTCCCACTATCTAGCTTCATTAATCCAGTCACCACTAATCTGGTTGTCCCACTATCTAACCTCATTAATCCAGTCACCACTAATCTGGTTGTCCCAGTATCTAGCCTCATTAATCCAGTCACCACTAATCTGGTTGTCCCCCCTATCTAACCTCATTCATCCAACCACCACTAATCTGGTTGTCCCACTATCCAGTCTCATTAATCCAGTCACCACTAATCTGGTTGTCCCACTATCTAACCTCATTAATACAGTCACCACTAATCTGGTTGTCCCCCCTATCTAACCTCATTAATCCAGTGACCACTAATCTGGTTGTCCCACTATCTAACCTCATTAATCCAGTGACCACTAATCTGGTTGTCCCACTATCCAGTCTCATTAATCCAGTCACCCTAAATATGGTTGTCCCACTATCCAGCATCATTCATTCAGCCACCCTTAGTCTGGTTGTCCAACTTTCCACATAGTGATTTGAAAAAAGACAGATTTGCCTTTTTGTATGCAATATTTTCCTAGTAGCTCAGTCAGTTTTGCTGCAAACAAAGACAGCCTGATTATAATTAAGGCTTTAAGGTTTCCATTTAAGAAAAATCACTAAGATAGATAATTTCTAGATAATTCAATGTTGATTGTAACATGCTTTTTAATTGGTTTCGTGGTTAGTTTATAAAGTGATAGACGTTCACTATTCTCCCCCAAACAAGTCCCTGCAGGTAGGGCGTAAGAATTGTACCTGCTGCCCCCATTGCATGATCGTAAGAGGCGACTAAATTTGGGATCTTATCTTTTCTCTTCTTTCTAAACAACTTTTTTCTTCCAAATGTCTCCCTTGACAATGTCTCACTTTTGGCCTTTAGTTGAGCGTTCGCACCTGTGAGGAAGGCTTTGGGTTCAGTCCCCTGGCCGAGACATTACAGAGTCTGTAAAAATGGTAGTTTCTACTCCTGCTTAATGCTCAGCAATTTAGGAGTATGACGACTGGTTCGCCTGTTGTCAGTATAATGTGACCAGGTGAGGTGTCCTGCTGGGTAGCTTCGGCAGTATGTTTCAGTGTGGTAGCACTAAAAAGTCGGCGTAAGTTCCGCGCTATCACATGGAGACAAACATGAACATATCGCAGCCTCCCAAAACACACACGCATGCATCTTGCACACAGGGGAGGCCGTCCTTAAATGACCATAGCTGTTAATAGGACGTTAAACAATACTAAACCAAACCAAACCAAATCTCCAAATGTAGTCATCTGTCATATGTCAATAATCGTCTACAACAGTGTCTATAGAGATTGAAAATTCAAACGTTATATTCAATTTTAGAACAGATGAGAGCACATGTTAAGGTTAACGACACAAAATTTGTACATGAAAAGTTTTCCTTTCCAATTTCAGAATTAAATTATCAGAATTGTACAAAATAACAAATTGTTCTATTGATGTTGACACTATTAACTGAAACATAAACTGTTTCGACCTTTATTTAGAGTGCGTTGACCTTGACATTGAAATACAATCTCATTTGAGGTGTTCTTCTTTTTAGACCTTTGTATGCATATAAGGAAAATTCAGAAATAAAGTCACTCGAGCAATGACAATGAACCAGGACAAACTCAATGACACTCCCCTCCCCCNCCCCCCACACTCCCCTCCTCATGAACTTGAAGTGGCCAGCACATAAATAAAAAAAAATGAAATAGGGAAAAAAAATCTATTCTATTATTGCTACAGATTTCTTTTCTGAAAAACAGTGAAACCTGTCTAATCGTTGGATTAGACAGGTTTCACTGTTTTTCAGAAAAAACATCTTGAGTTTTCCGACATTCTTTATATTCCAACTCTTGAGTATTCTGACATCCTGTCTAATCCAACCCCCATTATTCCAACTTCCTGTCTAATCCTACCCCGAGTATTCCAACATCATGTCTAATCCAACCCCCATTATTCCGACTTCCTGTCTAATCCAACCCCCAGTATTCCAACATCCTGTCTAATCCAATCCCCCGGATTCCAACATCCTGTCTAATCCAACCCCGAGTATTCTAACATTATGTCTAATCCAACCCCCAGTATTCCAACATCCTGTCTAATCCAACCCCGAGTATTCCAAC